ACCTCTTCTTATAGCATGTTTCTTATTAAAAAAAGTGAGTGTGTGCAACAAAGGATATTTACAGGCAATTTTCGCTGAAGATGTGAATTACTTCAGTTTGAAGGCAGTCATAAATTAGAATCACTTATCACTTAACAGCATAAGAACGATGATCGGGGACATCACAATTTAGGGTGTGGAGAGTTTACAGTGGGTTGGAAGTTGCAAAAATTAACATCATTAAAGGTTTGGTTAAGGCCACCACCATTGTTGACGGCCAGAAAAAATTTGAAAATTTGACATTCTGCGATGACCGGAAAATGAATCTACATTGTATATTAACAACATTTATTTCCAACGTCGATTGAATGATGAATCAAGGAAGATTCCAGGCAATATTTATGAACTTGTTATTATAATAATACTATATTGTTTTGGCTTGAATTTGACAGACGTTTGATGGCTCTTGCAAAGTTATTGAATAGACTTTGAAGCACAAGAAATTGAGCAAACTGTTGCAAGAAATGTGAACATAAAGAAAAATTAAGAAGCTCTGTAAAGTTGGTACTTTATTTTGCAAAAACAAATCATAAAAAGTTTCCATAGTCCAACCTTGTTGAAGAAAGCTAGTCATCCCATTCGACCCTTCTCTTCTATAACAAAGCCCAACCCCAACGTATATTATTCAGGGACCCCACGTCTCCTCTTCTCCAAATTCCTCGAACCAACCCCTTCCATAGCAACGCCCAACTCTGTCCGTTCCTTCAATGGTACCCAAGAGTTCTCTTATTATATCTTGATGGTATATATAGTTATATACTTGGTACCAAGGGTACAAGATCTTATATAGTTTGACCAATTCGGTCCGATAAACTTCTTGGATGATACATTCGAGCATGGGCCCGCTGACACTTGAATTCGAAAGTGTAAACTGAATCTTGTGCTTTGATTAGAGAGAAAAAAGTAGGAAAATGTGCACTGAAATACTATTGAAGATCTAGGAGCCCAATATTACGATCACTGTATGTGTTTTCTACTGCAAGAGAAGCGAATATCTTGCAACTGAAACTACAATCTTGGACAAAAATGTTGCGACAAGATGCAATTTTTGCATTTCTCTACTTTACCTTACTTTACCTTACTACCTTACTATTTTTACCACAGGACGTGCTCTCTCCTCGATTAGTCTATCTATTGAGAGAGCTCCTCCTTTAAGAAATTTCTGGATGCAAATCTCCTTCGTTTTTATAAAATCATATATATATTTTTTTGTTCTCTATTTCTCTCATTAGATATAATTCATTTCATTTTTTGTAACCTGTTGCTGTATTTTAAAAGATTTGTATGTATGGATTTTTAAAAATGAAATGAACTGAACTGAGTTAACGCCACCTTGCCCTTCTAAATTCGAATCCCTCCCTTTCCCCGAAGCAATGTTGGATTTGTATGTAGTTCTATCATTTTTGCTACAAAATCATGCAATCTAATCCCCTTTGCGTGAAAACAAATATGTATTCAATTTTGATCACAATGAGAATTGCGGCGTCACCTTTTGCGAATTCGGGCGTGAACTTTTGCAATTTCGAGCGTGAACTTTTGCAAATTCGGGCGTGAACCTTCGACTTCTCTAGAGAGTCCAGTCGAGAGAGAGAGAGAGTACCCTGTTCACCAAGTTCGAGACAAGCTCAAAACAACACAAAAACTGGCACGAGAACGGCAAAATACCTGGAGAAAATAGTCATTAGCGCAGCCAAACACAATGAGTTCCCATTTCATTCTTCGCAGTTAAAGAGTTTGACTCCCCTACATATATTTTTATGCTCATTCATCTTATTTAAACGGATAATCGACGTTGAGGTTGTCTTCCACTTTCACTCGGACCGTTGAAAAACTTTGATTTTCTTGGAGTCATATTCAAAATAATTTTCTGAATTACCAACTTTTTCTTACCCTTAAATACAGCAATGAAGTACTTCCACGATGCAAGTTTCATAATCAGGGAATGGCCAACAACTCTATCTCGGCGCCGATAATTCTTGCTACAGAGGCTCCATTGCAACATCAATTCTCCTGCTTGTCATTTATGTTGTCTTTCCAGAGAGGGTTTGCAACAGCATCATTAATAACCTTCCTGATTGTATTCCCATCATGACAGGAGCTTGACTTGCAGGTTTAAATGGCATCAGGAATTCAAGGTGTGGTGGGCCTACTTCGCCACGTGCCAGACGATTTAACTTGTTAACGCAATACTGAAAACGCAAAAGCTTACTGAAACTTGATAAACACACAGTATGTGCACCTTGGTTCTGTTTTCGAACATCTTCAATTCAATTCATAACGTAGCCCGTAAAATGCAAAACATATTGTACTAAAAGCAAGACCGTTCTCATCGACCCTACTCGCATGACTTCTCACTTCACTGAGGTACTCGGGCACCGCGGAGCAGGGAGGGCTGGGGGGGGCTTTAGCCAAATATTAAGATGCCAAATAATAAAAATGCCAAATATTAAGAATCAAACTGCCAGAAAAGCCACTTTTTATACGGTTTTAGCCCCCCCCCCCACTTTCTTAGACCACCCACTTTTCTCAACGCTCCGCGGTGCCTGGTACTTTAGATTGATGTGGCATGGCAAAGTGATGTTTGAAGGTGAGGGAGACAAAGAATGGTAATGTAGACTGATGGGTATGACCCCCTTCCCCTGTTAATCACGGACCTATAATTTAGATTAATTTTCATTCTTTCGCTTTCCTTTACCCTTGAGCTTCTTGTCAAAATACTTATCGAAATAAGGTCCCTTTTCTCAGTATTCGAGAATTAAGAAACTGGTCGATGCAGTGAAAAGCTTTACAAGGATGTCTCAGCTCTTACCTTACCTTGTGCATCAACATAAGAACTTTCTTTTTGTTTTCGACAGAAGAGAAAGAGAGAGTCAAAAAACGACAGGATTTCTGGAATAATTTGATAAGGCAAATTTTTACCATGTACATCGCAATACCTAAACTGTTATAAATTTGTTTATTATAAATACTCACCGAGGATAAAGTAATATGTTTCTCACTTTACATTGAAAATCTATTTAGGTATTTCTTTATGAATATCTTTGAGGTCTAGAGTCGTTGAAGACACCGGCACGGTCCAGGGGCATGGCTATAAGCTTCATGATAAGGAAAAAATTTGCAACAGTGATTTGCAGCTTCTACTGCTATGTAAATGATATTTCCATTCCGATAAGCGTATAAACGGCTCACTTCTAGCAGATACGAAATAATCACGCGAGTTTTTGAAAAAGTTGCTACAGTCGAAAACTCATATATATGTTCTTGATAATTGCGAAGACAAATGACAAGATACTTTTACCCTCCTACTCTATCCCCTTTACCGTGTCTGTAAGTATCGTTCAGGTTGAGTGAACAGCGCCTGAATAGGGTACCAAGTTTTCAAATAGTTTACACAAAACACAGTAAACACACCAGTTTCAAACCAAGTAGCTGATCTTTCTGAGTGTGTTACTAAGTTATTGAAAGGACGGGAATAAAATTTATAATGTTGGTAGTAACACCTATTATTTTTCTGCTTTAAGGCAAGATAACAGTGGCTATAAAACTGTTGAAATATGTACCAAACTAGCAAACATGATTCGGGTCGATAGAATGGTGAACAGGGCGGAAAGGGGTGCGACAGGAGGTGGAATGAAAATTCTCCGACGTCGTTAAGTACAACAATTGCCGTTCTGTGTTAAGTACAATATGTTCTTTTAGAGTTTGTCAGGAGTCACAGTGTCCCTTTGCACCACCTTAAGTGTCAAATAGATTTGAATAATAAAGAGTTGAAAACTGGGGCAGTGGTTTTTTCATACTTATCAACTAGAAACGTAGCATGCTCTGGTACAGCACTATTTTACAACAAGGGTTCTTTCATTTACACATCTTTTGACGCTGTTAACTGCAAGAACTAATTGCAACGTAACTTTGACTAAACATTTCGTTTTAGAAAAAGTGAATTTGTATATAAGAACAGTAAGATAAAACTTTATTTGATTCAGTCGGCAGTTTATAGCAAGTGCTTAAAATGAAACTGAAGATAAGTAATTCAATAAATCTTAAGAAGGGTTGAAGGGGGATATGAAGAGATTTTTGTCAGTAGACAGTCATATGGCTACCCTGGGCGACAGAGTCTCCATTATTTAGCCGCAGAAATATACAGTATTCTCTCTATTTAGAGGACACTGTCGGGACCAGAGCAAGTTGTCCGCTAATTGGAAATGTCCGCCTTTTGGAAAGTTTTGCAATATAAGTTTCAAAGTTGAAATAGACCCTTGTTTTGTATTTAAAAGGTGTAATCAGTGGCGGCGCCAAGGGAGGGCTAGAGGGGCTATAGCCCCTCCGTTGGAAGCACTTAGCCCCCCCCATCGAAGACAATTTTAGGTTATTTTTGGAGCAAATTTGACAAAATAACGTACGAAAACTGCATATTTTAGTCATTTTAGCCCCCCTGTCGGAAGCTCCAAGCCCTCTGTCGGAATACTTGAAAAAATATTCATTTGTCTTATTTTTTTGTTCGCTGGCTCCTAAATGTTTTGTACTGTCTGCTAATTGGAAAGAAAAAAGCCAAATTCACTATTTTGTGCAAACAATATTATCCGTTGATTGGAGTGTCCGCTAATTAAGCGTCCGCTTTTAGAAAGTTTTTTATGAGACTTTAACCAGAAAATGATCGGGAAAATTTTTTTTCCGCTAATCAGAGGTGTCCGCCTTTTAGAGTGTCCGTTAATTGGAGAGAAAACTGTAGTTCGAAATTAGTTCCAGAAATAATTATTTGAGCTTCCTTCTTTGCCACCGAAGCGGTCTACAATACTTTATCCCCGGTTTATTGAAGCTCTGGTACCCAGAGTATCATATGGCTGGACTGCTAGGTAACAAGGTAAAAGATGGTGCCTCTGCGACGAAAATTCTGACGAAAATACGTCCCCTCTTAGGCCTGCACATTATGACAAACTTCCGGCCTCTTTAAAAACTTTGTGAAAGTAATATCTAATCGCAAAAGGTGTTACACACATGAACATCAAGAGTGTTGGCACCCGAAACAGGACTTGATTTGCACCAGGGAAATCAGAGAACGACAGGTCATTTCCTCTAAAAAATTTTCAAGTCCCTCCTTTAGATGAAAGCATCTACGGAAATTCGTCAAATCTTCCTGTTTCGACCACCGACAAAATCTCTGGAATATGAGTACATTCCTCCTGGTCAGACAGCATTAGGTCTAGCAGAGTCGATTAAAATATCTAAAAATTTAGTCCTAACTTAACCGATATCTAATTTGCATGGGCAGCCCGGCAAAAAAGCTCCTTCTAAGAATGCGTTCAGAGCGACTTGGATCAATAAGTCCTGCTGAGTATTGGTTGCCTCGGCAACCTGCTCCTCCACAGAACTCTCGACTTGTGGCAGAAAGTGATGCAACCAAAGGTCTTCAGCCCAGCTGCAAAGAAAAGGATACCTTATGTAAAATTAGTGCAGGGTTTCTATTTTCAAACGAGGAAGGGGAGAAAGAAGACGGAATGCAACTTACCAAATATGACATTAAGGCCGTATTAGACACAAGGACAAGCAGAGGCGCAGTATTATCTAAGGCGCACGAAACATAGAGCCTATGGACCATAGGAACTTTTGCTTAGGCCTAGGCACTTTTGATGACACCTTTTTGCTTTCTGTAAAGTATGTATGTAAATTTCATGACGATAAAGCGATTTCCCAGCACATTTCTACAGAAAGCACGCGACTAAGCCGCCTTCTTCGAAAGGGAACCAACAACTCCAGAAAGATTGTGAATGTTGTCTTAAGTCTTCATTTCATCCGCATCAATAGAATCAACGTATAATATTACGAAAGTATGTGACATGAAACATAAAATCATTACCTTTTAAGACCGGCTGAATCACTGAAAGGAGCAGACAGAAACAGCCCAAGATCTGCGAAAGAAACAATGACATTGAGTAATATGCAGGTCTGTTAATCGTTTTCTAAATGCTTAGATCATGTCTTGACACAAACGACCAATGAACTAACAGATATTTATGAAACACTACAATACAAAGTGCTTTTCGAATCGATTCATGTTTGCATCCAAATTACAGAACAATTGAAAATCAACTAGCAAAAATTAAAGAGACTATAAACTAAGTGATCTGTTCAGAAGGCACATTCTTACATACTCTCAATTCCTCAAAGCAAGCTGGAAATCGTCGCTTTGGTACCTGCAACTAGTTAGCTTTGAATCTTTTTTGGTATATTTTTCAGTAAAAACCAAAATGGCACTGAAGAAACTGAGAAGTTTGAGTGTGACTTTATTTGGTTTTGGTGACATTATCAAAACAACTGTTTGAGCATTTTATGGCAGCACCAGGTGACATTGAGCCTAATATATGCGATGAAAGCGAATTACAATATAAAGATACAAAATTGAATGGTTTGACCTTTGGCATCTACAAAAAATGAACTTCAAATTTTGAAAACAAAATGAACATGATTTACAATAACGACAATCTGGCATATCCAATTTAATGTCTAGCTTTTCAAGATCGATTCTAGATCTTCTGTAAACATCGCTTATCCAGGAGCTCCAGTTATCAATTTCCCTAAAAACGGATCAAGCAATATTCAGAGATTGTGAACTGGGAAAAGCTTAAAACGTTTCTGAAACTATGAGTGACTTGACAATTAACGTCATATGGGAGTGTGATTGGATTGTAAGAAAGGGATCTAAATTAAGATTGACATTAAAGGTATAAATCTAATTGTTCACATTTCACATTTCATAATTGTGCTACATTTCGCATTAGTCATGTGCCAGGTGAAGAGGGCACTCGGAAGATGGCACAAAAAAGAAAAATGAAAATCTGAAGACTCTGCCAGATTGAAATTATGAAAGCACCTGTTCACACACAATGAAAAGCAGTCCCATAGAAAATTAAACACTAACTTAGAAAAAGTAGCTTGTAGAAGTGAGAGAGCCAATAACCCGGCTATTAAAAATCTCGCTGCCATAACACTCCCGTAAATGCAAAAAATAAACTACAAAGATATTCACCTGAAGTTTAATCGGCTTTCTGAATTTCGTGTTGCCTTTTGTCGGAGCCAACGTTGCAGAAGAACAGGCATAGTTGGTGGGAGATCAATTAACTTGAAAAATCTATGAATTCCTTGCCCAAATCGGTCCATGCTGGAAAAAAGTTAGCACTTAAAACAAGTAAATATAGAGTATTAAAATCTTGGCTGCAAATGGCTGGAAAAAAGGCTGCAAATAGGCAAGAAACACTGATAAAAAATCAATACTGAATAATATAAAGATTGTTGCTTTACAAGTAGTTTTGATACACACACCGTCCACATAAAATCTGAGTAAATTCAAAGTGTTCATTTTGAACTGAGACCAAGAAACTCATGCATAGTATGAAAGGGTTGAAATATTCTTGCTTTGGCAAACTAGATCTGAAGCAATCGACTTCAGATGTACAAATCTGAATTCTGTCGATCCCACATCTCTTAGTCGCGTGATGCTAAAGGTTGGATAGAAGTACGATTTAATAAAGCGAATTTTTGTATCATGGAACTTTTGTCTTCTTTCTAGCTCTCGTGGATAGCGCTCTATCAGCCTTAAAGGTTTGTTAGCAGCTGTAAATAACATCAGCTGTACCGTCTTCAAAATATATGTCCCTTAGTAGCTCAGGCTATCGACCGCGGTAAGGCAATTTTGCTGCAGTTCTGAAGGCTGAAGGTTGGGCTCTATCCTTTATTTAGGAAAGGACTAACAACGACGGGGAAGCTAAAGAAAACGAGAATAGAACAGTATCTGCATTTGGGGGGGGGGGGGAGGGATGAATCTGCATTGAAGGAACTGGCCATGCTTTGTCTCCATGCTTTGTCTCCATGCTTTGTCTCCATGCCATTGCTTAGATAGAAGGGTTCTTCTGTGCCAAACAAAAACATCCGAAGATAATTTTCGATTAAGGATGAAATCAACGTCGATCAGAATAATTGTTGAGCACTTCGGTCTCTCGCGATTCACCTCAACCAAAGCTCCTAAAAAGGAACAACAAACTGCATTGCAATGGACTCGCCTAAGCTCATTGATCACACAATACAACACCGTTTGAAGGTGGAAATGGGGTGCTATGGAGAAACTTTTTCCAAGCACCGTATGTGGCAAAAGGAACAATAGCGTAATTTTCAAGCATTCTTTTAACATTTTACTGAAATGTAATAGGCTAGAATTGGAGTTATTTTTGTTAATTTATCATAATTATTTTTCACAAAGACGCAAAAAGTAAGATTTCCAATGTCCACCAGGAGAGCTACAATTCCTATCACTGGCAAGACAGCCAAATTTAATCCAACCTAACATATCAATTAATTCGAATGCCTTTCCTTGTAAAACACATCGAAACACATCGATTGATCTAGAATTAATAAACAGCCATACCCGTTATGTTTAAGAACTAGAGGACAGTTAAAATGTGCGTCTACATATGGTATGTGACTTTGTATGACGACTTATATAGCAATATATGCTAGGGTACATATTTAGCAGATAACAGAAACATAACATGATTTATATTTTTGTGAAAACAAATTATATATTTATAAATGAAATCTATGAAAGTAATTATGATTTCTAGTACGTCCTTTCATAGGTTATCGGCAAATAGCATTTTTTTGAGAAATGGTTGATTCGTTCGTAAAAAATAGACTCTTCCACTGCTGTTTGAATTTATACATGCGAACAAGAATCACTCGAATAAATGTGCTCCAAAAACGCTTAGCCAAATCAAATGCTTCCAATCAACTACTATGCCCGTCTACGTAATACAAATCAGAAATCTGCCTTCAGAAACAAATTATTACCTTTCCTTTTCAAAAACCCTCGCGCATATAAACAACTCTCACATGG